AAAAAAAAGGCAAGCAAATAATTTAGCAGCAGACATCTAGGTTCTACAAGTGAGCAAAAGGATATTAATAAAATTGCTGGGCCGGGCATGGTGGCTCACACCTGTAATCCTAGTACTCTGGGAGGCCGAGGCGGGAGGATCACTCAAGGTCAGGAGTTCAAGACCATCCTGAGCAAGAGCAAGACCCAGTCTCTACTAAAAAAATAGAAAGAAATTAGCCGGACAACTAAAAATATATAGAAAATATGAGCTGGGCATGGTGGCGCATGCCTGTAGTCCCAGCTACTCGGGAGGCTGAGGCTGGAGGATCGCTTGAACCCAGGAGTTTGAGGTTGCTGTGAGCTAGGCGGACGCCACGGCACTCTAGTCTGGGCAACAGAGTGAGACTCTGTCTCAAAAAAAAGAAAAAAAATTGCTGAAGAGGAAAGAGTTCAATGGCCTGGCAGCAGGGCTCTGTAAAATCATTGAGCAAATCCTTGGCACCTCTGTTTAAAGGAATATGGAAGGTGAGATGACCAGCACAGTGAAACTAGTGTTAATAGGAAGTGAGAGTAATTGGAAACTGGTGTCTACTGATAGAACTAAACACTGAATGTAAGCTTTTTGTTGGAATCCTGCTGAAAAGATTGACAGGAGTAATAGAGAACATGAGAATAATAGAGGAACAGGAATAATAAAGAACATGCCAAATGAATAGGGTAAGAAATAAATTTATTATGCTTAGACTAAGAAAAGTCTTTTATTTAGAGAAGCTATGATTTTCTCTTTAATACCATGTAAAATATATTGTTCCAGAGCAGCTTTTGAAATGTGAGGACTTTATATATGAGCCATTGGCATCAACATCTCTATTCTTTATTAAGGAAGATTGGAGAGAAAATTAAAGTGATAAGAATAAAGCAATACTGCCCATATAATCCTTTACTATTTTTATAGTCTGTAGATTGAATTTTTCTTCCTCCATTAAAAATTTTTTAAAGTGTATAAAGATATAAAAGAGACAGTCCAGGGAAGCTGAGGCTACTCAGCCTAGTATTCAAGAGTAGCATCCCTCTAGCAATTTCAGAAGTAGATTTAAAATAAAAGAGTACAGAGAAGGTGGCATAGATCATAAAAGTGGATAAAAAACCAAAGTAATGCAAACTTATTTAAAACAAGAATAAAAAGAATGGGTATGTTCTTTGGAAGGGCAAAAAATACAAAAAGAAATTGGATCATGAAAATAAAGGAAGTGGAAAGTAAACATAGACTAATTGGAAGTTATTAGAGATCAGTTCTTAATGATCAACTGATCAAATACTGTAGTTATTGGTATCAGTTTTTTCTGCTGCCCCTATAGCTTTCTGTCAGTGATCTCATTCCCGTGGCTTTGATTACCATTTATATGTGAATGGCTCTCAAATCATTGCCTAAGCTCCAGACCCGTATGTCCAACTGCCTATTTGAAGATCTCTTCTTGGGTATGTCACAAATGCCTCAAATTCAACAGGTCCAAATCTGAAAATATCATTTCTCTGCTTCTCTTCTGTACTCCAAGTCTGTTTTTCTTCCTGTGTTTCCCCATTACAGAGAATTGTATTCTTAATCACCCAGTCACCCTATTTAGAAATCTAAACATCCTCCTTGATGTTTTTTTTACCTCTGTATCTAGTCAGTCAGCAAGACTATCCATTCTTCCCCTTTAATATCTTTCATATACTAATCGTATATTAATATCTCTCTGTTCTTATTCTATTAATTTAGACCAGTAGTTGCCAGACTTTTAGACAATATGTAAATGAATCAGTGTGCCTGTTTTCTCATAAAACCTTATTTATAGATACCAAAATTTAAATTTTGTATAATCCATATGCCACAAAATCTTTTGATTTTTCATCCCAACAATTTTAAAAATGTTACAACCATCTGTAGCTTGCCACTTCCACAAAGCAGACTCACAAGTCATAGTTTGCCAACCCCTGGTTTAGAACAACATTTTTTCTCACCTATATTATAATATGACAACAGTCTCCTAGCTGCTTTCCCTCCCTCTGATCTTTCCCTGTGGCCAGATTGACTCCAAAATTGCAAGTTGGATTTCACTACCTTGCTTTAAAGTTTTAAAGACTGACCAAAGCCTGTGGGATGAATCCACATTCCTTGCCAAGACCCTTCATAATATGGACCTTGCTTACTTTTTTAGCTATATTTCTTACCACTTACCCCTAATTCTCTGTTCCAGCTGCTTGGAACTGCTTGCAGGTCCTAGGATGTTCAGTGTTTTTCACATCTAAGTTTTGACACATGCCTTGAATGTCTTTTCCTCCTTACCTTCTCCCTACTTCCACCTGGCTAAACACTACTTTTCCTGTAGGACTCATTCCAGCCATCACCATCATCTCTAGAAGCTTCCTCTCACTTCCCCAAGGCTGGATTTAAGTGCTTCTATTAAGTTCTTCCATCATTTCTATAGAACCCAATGATAGCATTTATTTTACTATATCATAATTGTCTATTTACTTGACTCTGTCTCCTAAATAATAAGTTCCTTGAGTACATAGTGTTTGTCCATTGTTTTATCCCCAGTTTCCTGTATGGCATCCTATAGTACCCTTAGCATTAAAAAAATTTTTTCTTTTACATTTTAAAAATTGAGACAATTCATATGCTATAAAATTCACCCTTTTAAAGCGTAGAATTTAGTGGGTTTGGTGTATTCGCAGTGTTGTGCAATCATCACCAGTCTCTAATTCCAGGACATTTCTATATCCCAAAAAGAAAAAGAAACCCTATGCCCAGTAAGAAGTCACTCCTCATTCCTTCATTCCTCCCAGCCCCTAGAAACCACCAATCTCTATGGATTTGCCTGTTCTGTACATTTCATATGTTAGTAAATGGAATCACATACTTTGTCCTTTTGAGACTGGCTTGTTTCATTTAGCATATATAATATTTTCAAAGCTCATCCATGTTGTATTATGTATGAGTATATCATTCCTTTTCTGTCACTGAATATTAGCATTATATTTTAAACTTCATTCTTCAAAGCTCCCAGACCTCTATGGGAAAAGAAAGAGGGACCCCTAGACTCCTGTTCCTGCTTAACTAGAACAGTTCTGCTTTCATCTGTTATCTGTTTATGGATAAGCTTTCTTTTTAAATTTGAAAATCACTGGCTGTCAGATTGAAGAATAGATCTACCTGGGGCTAAAGAATCCACCATAGTCTTTTTACTCCATCCTTTCCCATTCTTCTTTCCCCTGTATCATGTGTTTTAGTCAAATATAATAGTACCTTGGTGGAGTCTTCATGTATATCTCATGCATTCTTTCCACTGTACCTTTTCTTATGTCATCTCCTCTATCTGAAATGCCCTTTTCCCACCTGTTTAAAGTTTTATTAGCCTTCAATGCCTAATTCAGATATAATCCCTTCCCTGAAGCTTTCTCTGATCTATGAATTCCTATAGTAATTATACTGCTTTAGATGGTACCTTTAAACGTTTTCTTAATTGTTTTAAATTTATATTCTCCTATCAGTAGCTTGGCACTAGGATGTTTGGGGGAGGCGGATGGGTGTAACTATATAGGATAGCATGAGGGAGTTTTTTGTGATGATAGAATAGTTCTGTATCTTGATCGTGATGGTGGTTACAGGAATCTATACATAAGGATAAAATGTCAGTTTTCTGGTTTTGATGTTGTGCTATAGTTATGTAAGATGTACCCATTGGGAGAAATTGTGTGAAGGGTACATGGGACCACTCTGCAATCTTTGCAATTCCCTGTGAATCTATAATTATTATAAAATAAAGTTTTAAAAATGTTCTTTAGAGATTGAGGTGGTATTTATCATAATCATTTTGCCACTCATGGTGCTGCTTCTGATCGGTATGAATCTGTCTGTGCCTTTGAAAGTAAAATTACCTTGAGGTGAGCAAGAGAACCCATTCGTAGAGATATTTTATTAATAGTTACATTTTACAATTAGGTGAAACTTATCTAAAGCAAGAACTAAGATACAATGGTTCTTTGTATATGATGTTCTGGCTTATCCAAGGCCTTGTTTTAATTTTTAAATTGAGTGATAAGCTTTAATATCAGTTATGTTTTGGTACACTTTTGAGTTCTTTGTGTTCTTGTATACAGTCTCCTAGAGAACAGTGACCACAGCTTATAGTTTTGGGAAAAAAATCATTATGTGATGTTCAACTCAAACTTTTGAAAGTTGTTACACTGTATATCAAGTAAAAGGAATATTCTTGTGCAAATTTAAAATAAACATTACAAAATCAGAATTTACCTCTGATTTTTTTTTTGGAAAGAGGTGGGGTATAAATAATCAGTTTTTCATTTGTATTTATGATGAAGTTCAAAGTGAATATGAGCAAAAAAAAAAGTAAATATGAGCAAAACTACATTTTCTTTAGTAAAATGAAAACTTAATATTTTTCAGGTTAAACTACAGAACAACATATCATATCAGATGGCAGACATACATCATTTAAAGGGTAAGAAACTTAATTACAGATGAAAGATAAACAAGGGTCACTAAATGTCTAACATCCTCAAGAATTAAGAAATAGTAAATTAGCTTAATGAAATAAAATTTTCTGAACAAAGATCCTCTGATGGCAAAACATTTATCTTTTTGTCTTTAGATATAATAAAAATTATTTAGTATTGTTTTATATATAATAAATGCAAGTTAAAATTTGAGGTTTATATCTTAATCTTGTGCTGTAGAAAGATTCCATGCAATAAAATTTTCTTAAAAGAATCCTCAAAGAAAATTGAGCTGTAGCTTCAGGTCATCAGATTTCTAGGGAAAAGGTGAGAAGTGTTCCATCTATACTGTGTCCAGTGTGCTAAAATAATCCATTCAGGTCTAGGGATGCTTTGGACAGGTCCTCTAAACATTATGTTTTAGATACCTTGGGAACAGAAAGAAACCTGGAAGATAGATAAATATA